TATATATATATATTTTTTAAATATATTTTTTATTGATTTCAGAGAGTAAGGGAGAGGTAGAAACATCAATGATGAGAATCATTGATTGGCTGCCTCCCCGGGCATGTGCCCTGACCAGGACTCCAACCCTAACCTCCTGGCTCATAGGTCAACACTCATCCACTGAGCCCCCGTGGCTGGGCCATATGAGGTGTTTTAGACCCAAGCACTCGGTCAGAGCTACACAAATGACTTTAGAATAGGGATGTGTGTGAAGGTGGCAGTTCAGCCTTTATTACCAAATCCACTGGGCTCATCTGAGCAGGTGAACTCCGCCTTCAGCGAGGCCAGGTGTGAACATGCCCCTCAGAGCAGGCTGCCCACAGCACCCTCAGGTATACAGCACCAGAGCCAGGCTCGCCCGGAGCACCCTTACCAAGGACCAAGCGGCCGGGGCCCTGCTCCCACCTGGGCTCTTCTCGCCAGCCCGACCTGCACGTGGGCCAATGGGCTGGGGCCCCTGGGTGATGGGCCTCCCAGCTTGAGGCCCTCCCCTTCCTCTCCCACTTCACTCAGGTCGTTCATCTGCTGTTGACGTCTGGAGGGCCACTTCCCAAGCAGTGCCCCTCCCGCCAACTGTTGCAACCTGGCCTCACCCCCCCCCCCCCAAAAGCCACTTGGTCAGGGGTGCTTTCAGCAGAAGCCTGTGCACACACCTCCCCTGCGCACTGCCAAACGCATGGAGGGGGTCTCCCACGGTGACCCTGACCCTGACCCTGGCTGCTGTGTGGAGAGCAGTGCCTTCGTCAAGGATTGTGAACAGGAGGGGGCTGATGGCTTTGTCCCCGCGCCTTCCAGGCTGCAGGGCCCCTGTGCCAGGCAGGGAGCGTGCGATCCTCCAGGCAGGTTTCCCGCTTGCAGACGGTGGATGAGGGATTCGAGCAGCATCAACCCAGACCCCGCTCACTCTCAGGTCATCACAAACCCGGTGACAAGCTCAGATGCCCTCGGGCCCAGCAGATACAGTGAGGGGCAGGCTGTGGATGAGGCCACAACCTGGGGTTCGTTTCAGCTTTTGCTGCACTCGGGTCCCCCACAGACAGCCCCTGGCAGGTGCCCTATGACTTCACACGGAGCTTAGCCCAGGGAGACGTGACTGAACCCGCGGCACCAGGATGGGGCCCAGGGCACGCCAGGACCACGGCCGGGCACCTGCAGCCTCCACCCCAAGGCACCCCCATGCCTCCATTTCGGAGGGGACACCTTTACAGGCCTCATGAGGGTGTCCCCTGTCCAGCAAAGCCACAGCCTCCAGACCCCCACTTGGCACTCAAACTAGCTTCTCAGGCCCCAGGCCAGTGCGGACTGGCCTTGCTTTACCCAGTGCCCACTCGGCCCCCAGACAGGCCCGAGCCTCCTCCTGGGGTGCAGCCTTGGCTCCCATGCAAGAAATCTGACAGGGCCTCATGGACGCCAGCACCCCCTGCACAGGCCCACGAGGGCTACAAGGGCTGGAAGCCTTGGCCAGAGGCTGCCTGGAACCTCGTGCACCCTCGCCTGCTGCCCATCTGGTCAAAGTCTGTAACAGGCAGGGCTCCTGGGGGCGGGTCTGACTGCAGAGGCCCCCTGGGTGTGCAGGCTCCACAGCTGGCAGGGGCGGCCGCCCTTCCCCTGCTCCCATTCTCCACACCCTCCCTCACTTCCAGATTTGAGGTGTGTGTGCACTGGGGGAGTCCTAAGTTCATGGTCTTGGACTTGTGTGAAACCTGCTCGGGGGCGCCCTCTAGTGGCCATCCCAGGGGCAGTCATTCCACCAACACCCGTCTGCAGCCTCTGGCCACCACGATGACATGGGGCCAGGACCGGCAGTGTCTCTGCAAAGGCAGCTCCCAGGAGGGGCAGGGATCTGAATCGAGTGGACAGGGCAGCAGACCCTGTAAGAGATGGGCTGAAACGCAGGAAGCTTTACACCGCCACCCAGACGTCCAGGTGCCGGGCGGGGCCCTGGCCGTGCCAGCTGCCAGCAAGGGGAGGCGCCTGAGGGCTAAGGCACTGCAGGGTGGCTCCGTGTGGCTGTCAGGAGCCTGTTCCCTGTTCCGGTCGGTGGGTGGGTGAGTGGCCTTGGGTCCTGGGCCTGGACAAAGTGGGCTGTGGCTTCTGGGAGAGTCCAGCGAGCTTGTCCAGTCATTGGTCAGGTCACCAGGGCCCAGATCCAGTTGCATGCCAACCCCACGGAACAAGAGAGCTGCTCGGAGAATGTATTTTCTTAGGAAAATTAGACGTCAGAGTGGAACAGATGCTCCTGCTGCATCCAGAACGTTAGGAGGACTGCTTGCTGGGCACCGTCTCCCAGACCCGAGCGAGGCTGGACCCAGGCTGCGGACTGAGACCACCCCCGCCCCCAAGTATCTGTAAAAACGGCCGTAATGTGATAAAAACCCAAGGGTCGTGCCTCCCCACTGAGAAGCCGTGGCTGTGGCTGTGGCTGTGGCACAGGATCCCACAGCACAGAGGCTCAGGGTGGACAGCCGGGCTAGGCCGTTCCTTGTCCAGTGCAAGCTGATGGGCCATGGGGGAGGCCTGGGTCCTGGTGGCCAGGGCAGGAACAGTGAGCTGTGCTGTGCTGACAGGTTCCCTGGTGTGTGCAGCCAGTGTGCGAGGGAGGGGTCCTGGCTGAGCCGCAGACCTCCCGGCTCCCACAGGGGGGAGCAGGAGCAGGGGCCTCTCTTCCAGCTCCTCCAGGAGAGGGACCAGTGGAGCAGGACAAGCCGTCACCAACAGAGCCCCCCAAGCCTGTGGGGGCAGGGATCCCGTAACCCCCAGCCATGGGGTGGCCACTCCGGGAAGGGCAGAGGGGACTGTGCCCCCTCCTCCAGGTGCGACAGGACCAAGGCCCCTGGGCAATAGGCCTGGCTTGTCACACCCCGTCGTCAGGGGCTGCTGGGGACGAGGGCCCCATGCCCCCCAGCCTCCTGGCTGTGCTGATCAGGCAGCGCAGCTGCACCAGGTTCAGGGGCCCCACCTCCCGCGGGTCCTGGCTCTCCAGCCACCGGAGAGCTGTCTCCAGACCCCGCACGGCCTCCCCAGCGGTGGGCATGGCGGCCGCCTCCTCTTCCCCATCCTCCATGACAGAGGGTAGGCTGCCAAGGGACAGAGGGGCCACAGGGGCCAGTGCAGGGGGCCGGCCAGGGCCTGCCTCCTCTCTGCAGCGCTCAGGCAGCCCCCCATCGTCGTCCAGGTGCAGCCACTCGGCCACCTCCTCAGGTGCCAGGCGCTTGTAGGCCAGGGCTGCCAGGTGGGTGAGGTCGCTGAGCACCCTGCTGTGCTCGGCCTCAGCCTGCCCAGCGCGCTGCCCAGCGCAATCCCCTGGCTGAGGCTCGAAGGCAGCTCGCAAGCCCAGCAGCCAGCACCGTTCGATGCTGCCGGCCTGCACCAGGTCCCAGGAGAGGCCGGCCAGGTAGAGCATGTCCTTGAGCATGAAGCTGCGCACGAAGTCCAGCGGGGAGCCGCCCGCGCAGGACACCGCCAGGCGGAGCAGCTCCCGCTTGTACAGCTGCTTGAACGCAGCCACCACGCCCTGCTCCAGCGGCGCCGGGATGTGCGTCCGGCCACTGTCCTTGGACAGGAACAGCACTCGCACGGCCCCGTCGGGGGTCTGCAGCTCCTCCGCGGGGCCAAGAGGCTCAGGCCGGAACCGCCTGGGGGTCTCCTCGCTCTCCTGCAGGGCGGGCACCCTGGCGGCCGGGCTCGGGCCGGGCGGGTGGGCGACCAGCAGCACCGCCCTCTGCTGCAAGCAGCTGCGGCGCAGGTAGCGCCTGACGCCGGGCACGAACTCCTCGAAGAACCAGCCCCGCAGCAGAGGGCGACTGAGCCAGGCGTCGGGGCTGTAGCGGTAGGAGGCCGGGAACTTGTCCTGGTTGTGGTGCCGCAGGCTGGGCGGGTCTGGCAGCTGCCCGATGACTAGCGGCTTCAGCTTGTGGCTGCCAGTCAGGTTAGCGGCCAGCAGCACAGTCACCTGGTC